ATTTTTAATATAATAAAAAAAATTTACATAAAATAATATTTTAATTCAAATTAAAAACTCAAATCAACACTATAAATTTATGTTTTACAAAAGAATTATAATATTTTCTCTCATAAAAATATACATAAACTAAAAATAATTCAAATTACAAATCCTCCAACCAAAACGTTATTATCAACTTCGAACGAATCTTATTATCAACTTCAAACCAACGCAACGCAAGAGCCGAGGCAGTGGGGACTCAAAACCAACGCAACGCAAGAGCCAAGGCAGTGGGGACTCAAATCACTTTCCATTTTTTATTAGGCGAAGGGCGAGACCTTCGAAGCAAAAGCAAGAAAGAATCTTGTTCGTTTGGTGAAGGAAGTGAAGAAGTATGGGAGGGTTTCTCTCAAGCTTTCTCGGAGGACCAGGAGGAGAAGTATCCTCAGACGACGCAGCCGCTTCCTCGTCGGTCATCTCCTTTCACTCCACCGCCAGATGGCAGCTCCACTTCAATTCCTCCCAGGAATCCTCTAAGCTCGTTCGTAACTCTTTCTTCGATTATCTTCAATTTTTCCCTGATAATTTCTTTTACAATTCAGATCTATGTATATACACATATATTATTGTTTTGACTTTGTGTTGAAATGCATGAGAGAAGACGGTGATCGATTTCTCGGCGACGTGGTGCGGTCCCTGCAAATTCATGGAGCCGATCTATAACGACATGGCCGCCAGGTTCTCCGACGTTGACTTCGTCAAGATCGATGTCGACGAGTTGTCCGTAAGTTCCCTTCCCTCGGATTCTCAATTTGCTTCCCTTTTTTTCCCCCTTTTTCTGTACTGATTTTTGTTTTTATTTTTGTAAAAGGATGTTGCACAGGAATTCGGGGTTCAGGCGATGCCGACGTTCGTGTTGACGAAGAAAGGGAAGGAAGTGGACAGGGTTGTGGGAGCCAAGAAGGACGAGCTCGAGAGGAAGGTCCAGAAACATCGCTCTTGAATGAATCAATGGCAGCTCTTAACGCTGCTTCTGTTCGATTCTCACTTTATATATAGTTTAATTTAAAAATGCTTCCTTCCTTCCTTCCTTACCTCGGGTTGGATTGGATTCCAGTTTCGTGTCGATTTAGATCATTATGATGGTGATAATTATTGTGTTGGATTGAATTCTCAATTCTGGTGATAATTCCATGACTGATGTTGATGATTAGCTAATTTCTAGGGAAGATTCAGAGTAGTTGTGTCGTTCTTTTTGCTTACACGGCACTTCATTTTTCAGCTTGATCGGTCAACCCCTTTTAGGTTGTTGTCGTTTTTTCTTGGAAGCTGACGTTTCTGAATATGATGTCGTTTTACCTAGTTATCGTCGTTTTGTTAGAATATTGTCGTCTTATGATAATTATTTTTAAGATTAAGGATCCGTTTAGTTCGCTAATTTAAATTTTTAATTCGAGTTGAGACATTATTTTATTGTGAGAGTTTTTTACTGTAACAAAAAAGTTAAAGTTAGTTAGAAGTCATAGTTTTTGAGAGTTTTTTACTGTAACAAAACTCGAATTATAAATTCGAATCTGTAAAATGAACGGGACTTAAAATATCGTTGCTTGAATTTGACCTGGCACCAATCTGTTGTCGTTTATGTTGTGTTTGATTATTTTCTTGATATTGTCGTTTCGAAGCTTTTAGGTCCTTGCAGACTGCAGTTTTACAGGGTAATGTCGTTTTATTAGCTATTGTGCCCTTGTCGTTTTTGTTACACACCGTCGTCATAGTTTATTCCGTCGTTTCGTTTTCTCTACTGTCGTTTATCAAGCTGCTATCCGTATTTCTTTCTGAAATACAACTGCTACATTCTATAACAAAGCAGTTGTGTTGGAACATGAAAAAAGAGTGAAGTAGCTCAAGTTACGAAATTAAAAGTAACAAATAGGCACACAGATTGGTCCCGCATATGTAAAATATATAAAGCCACCTAATTGCAAATGAGTTTATAGGATGGTTAACACGTTACATTTTTTTCCCGCTCTTTTTGCTCGGAGGTTTGATGCGTTTCACATGTTTCTATAGAATGGAATAGGCTCAGTAACAGAAACAAAAGAGGACATTGCTATGGAGGAACGAGACTAAATAAAAAGGGTCTCATCAAACGGTGTATGCTTGCTGAATAGTGTCTATATCAAGGCCCTTCAATCTCACCACTGATTCCATATGCCCTTTGAGTGTAGTCAGCTCTCTTAGTCTGCACAAATTATAACCCCATCAGATATTAAATTCAGTTCAATACAGATAAGCATCAAGGTATTAGATTCAATTATAATGCGTATGACATTTTGCTAATGATAAACATAAAGCGTGGAACTTACCTTGCAATCTCAGCTCGTCTCTTAGCCTCTTCTGCCATCTGATTGAGTTCTGGGTAAGTAGTGCGCTCAGTAAACATCTTGGTTTCAGGTGGGTGCAGGCCGTGGAGAGTCCTTTGTGCATGTGCCCATTTGAGCTCACGTTCTTCCCTACCAAAATCCTTCTTCCTCGTAAAGGCAATCTAGCCACCCAAGAAAAAAAAAAAGAAAAAAGGTCAGCAGCTTCACCAAATAGATTAGTGTTGTTGAGCCAGTTTCATTCATACCCTTTGCTCAATTACGAGGTCCCAAGCCCTTCCGCTCAGCGCGTATCTAATGAAGAATTTGATGAAGTCAAGTGGGAAGTAGAAAATGAAGTTGTATAGCCAAACCACACCGGCCCAACCCCAGCCAATCCCCGCAATTGCAGCGAAGCTCCAATTTGCATAGACAGCAATTAACGTGGCAATCTGCTCACCAACAAAGAGTTTGAGCAAGTCCATAAGATATCTAAGTAGAAAATGACGCCGAATATTAGGAGATCGAAAATCAGAAGTTACACTCACCAGCTGAGCAATAACAAAAGCACCAAGGAGTAAGAGACCTGGACGCTCGACAAAAGACCAACTCCGGGATCGCGTCACAAATATGAGAGCCTGACTGATGGTGCTCACTTGCAGGTATACTGCGGATGCTAGTTTCCTTAGGCCCTCTTTATCGTTCTTTTGAAGACTTGAAACCCCAAATGTCCTCTAAAAATTTCGATATAGTCAGCCAAAAAAAGGTGCATCAGTTTGAGCATATCGACAGCTGAACTAAGATACACCTTAACAACATGAAGCTGTAACTAATGTTCTAAAGATTACTTACAGGAAAGAAGTCTGTCTTATAGGCCGCCCAGAAGAAAATGACAGTCATCATGGCCAAGTATCCACCAAGAATGATTCCGGTCGTAAAGATCTCTGCCAGCTTCCAACTGTCTGGCTGAGGAGACGGTTTCACCCTATCCTTCGATATAGTCATAATTGTACCTGGTATGACAGAGATTGTGTTATTTAGATTAATCAATCGTTAACTACTACGAAAAGGTATGGCTGATGAGTAATTGAAGAAGGTACGAACCATCATTAAGGATAGCAATAATCAAAACAACGAAAGGCGGGAAATCGAACTGCCATATGAGGGCCAGTAACATGAATCCAAGCTGTTGCACAATAAATCAAAAGATAATAATTCAAGGTCAGATGAGGTACACAAGCTCTAAGGAGAAGTTAAATAGTTAATACAGAATAAATTGTATAATCATTGGAGATACTGTACAAAGGATTATATCCCATCACAAAACCAAACCAGATAACTTACCACAATACGAATTGT